CTGAATCACTTCCCCTTTGACCGGATGTCGGCATTCCAGTTTCCGGTCTAATCCCCGGTCTCGGTGAAAAGTTTTCTAGATGTTTACAAGAGCTGCCCAAGATAAATATCAGCGATGTTCATCGTATTGTTGATGCCTGGTCCCCTGCTCCGACAAGCAAACGTAACAAGGGATTTAAATTGTATATCTCAAGTTACCTGCACAACTACGAGGGTAAGTAACGTTAGTTTGATCGTTGTGATGTTGCTAACTGTTTGCAGCTAACGTTAGGCTATTAGCAACACGACCATTTTTGTGTATACTCACGTTATAGAAACAGGTTTTCCACACTTAAACAAAAGGCTCATATTTTGTGATCATTCTACTAACATTCTGCTCTTCTCAGTTTCTAGCAAAAATCAGGACACAGGTGAAGTCGTTGTCAGGGCTCTGTGTCACAGGTCCATGAAGAAAAATGAAAAACCTCACAGTTTAAGTGTAGGGTGAAGATAGGATTGTTCAGATGACAGTTTTAAGATTGTTGGTTCAGTAACCCGACGTTCCTAATGTTAATGGGGATTTAGCTAAGGTGGTAATTAATTCTTAAATAAAAATAAAATGGAATTGGCTATTTGATGAATATTAACACGTGAGTTTGGCCTTGCTTGTCCCCATTTGGTTATTTGCTGCATGCATTGTTCTTCTTTTATGGTTGTTATGTGTTACTTTTAACCCAGTGTTAATTTGGTAATTCATGCATATTAGTTTTACTTAAATCTAAAGAATACACTCACAGTCTCTGTAACATTATCCAGGTATTTTTACCTAGCGGGTCTCCTCTGGGTTAAAAGTGTTTTGAAATCAAGTTATCTTTATCTCATCCATTCATTTAAGATGTAATCTTGTGATAATTGTATTACACTACTCTTGACCTTCATAGAACATACTCCAAACTAAATATAAAATCACATAACATGATACTATGGTTCTATGACATTAGTTATAAAAAAATATTTGGGAAGCAAGATTGCATCATGAAAGAATGGCTGATGAGTGACCAAGCTAAGATAATAAGTTCTTACTATGACATTCTTATGCAGGTGGTCCTGAAAGACTCGTGTCCTGTGGAGCTGATTCACCACAGCTGTACGTGTGTTGCTGGTGCAGCATTATGCAACCACTGTGTGGCTTTGCTGTTCCAGTCAGCACATTATTCTGAGCTGAAACTGTCAGTGGTCCCCCCTGTACTAAGCTGTACAGAAGGAGAACAGCAGTGGCACAAGCCCAGAACTTTAGTAAGTTTTCTCTTCAATAATAGACTCAATTTATTACATTTTCTTGCCGTATAACTTGTAACTGTGTCATGGATAACTGAATAGGGTATAAAACCTGGCCCCGTGGACAAGATGACTGTGCTGTCTGCTAAACCGAAGAGTGGAGCAACAACAGAGGGTGTAAGGTAAAAAAAAATCAATAAAAATTCTGATGTATTACAACAGTGTTTCTCAACCCTGGTCCTCAAGGCACACTGCTCTGCATGCTTTATAGATTTCCCTGCATTAACACAGCTGATACAGTTGTTAATCAGTTACCAACTGAAATGAGCTGTGTTTAAGCAGGGACAAATCTCAAACATGCAGGACAGTGTGCCTTGAGGACCAGGCTTGAAAAACACTATTATTTTATGTTTCATATCTGAACGAAATGCAGGTGGGTATTCTATTTTTGACTCATGTTCTTTTCTTATTTATATACACAGGAGCACACTCTACAAAGGCCTTAGTGGGGATTTGCCGGACCTTTCTGTCCTTAGAGTAAGTAGTTGTATTTAAATTACTGATAAATAAAAATGAAATTAACAGTAGGCTACAATGTACTAACAAAGAGTTGTAGACTTACCGGTGTATTGAATAATTTTATTTTCAAGTGCTGTCTCTTTGTAAAGTGTAGAATTTTTGAGGGCTTAAAATTAGTTGATATACATGTATTTTACATTTTATTGAAATAATTGTTTTCACTTTCCCAGGTTTCCGAGGTGTATGAAGATTTTGCAGCAGCTGATGCACCAATGATCTGCAGCATGGGAATCAGCCATGAATTTCCCCTTGTTGACTCTGCCCTTGGCAAAGTTCAGGCTGGAAGTCCTCTGTCCTACCAACAGCCAGCAACAGCAAAGAGAGACATGTCCTTCCATGCTGCACCACCCCGCCCATCTCTGCCTCTTAAGAACTACCACCTACAGCCATCAAAAAGCATGTTTGTTTGTTCTGAACCACAACAGCTACACCTTAAAAGTATGGAGGTCACCTGGGACATGGTGAATAAATTTGAATGTGCTACCAGAGCACAGAGTACATGTCCTGAATGGCATCAGCTAAGGAGGCATAGGTTGACTGCCTCCCGCTTCAGGGAGATCTGCCAGGTTCGAGATAAATCTGAGGAAGATCTGGCAAATCGTCTGCTGCAAGGGACCTATCAGACTGCAGCTATGAAGAGAGGGCTTGAATTAGAGGCAGATGCTATCTGGGAATATTGTCAAATTAAAAGAGTCAACCACTATCCCTGTGGATTTGTGATTCACCCTGATGCTCCTTGGCTAGGGGCATCTCCAGACGGATTGATCTTTGATCCTTCTGAGCCATGTCAGTTCGGGCTGATTGAGATTAAGTGTCCAAATGTGAAAAGTTATGTTGACTGTCCATATCTCCAAATGAAGTCAGGCAAATTGGAACTAAAAAAAACTCATGTTTACTATTGGCAGGTTCAGGGGCAGATGCTAATAACTGGGATGAACTGGTGTGATTTTGTTGTCTCAGCTGAGGAAGATATTCTTATTCAAAGAATTTATGCAGACACTAATGTGATGGATTCAATCAAACACAAAGTAGACAGATATTTTTTCTATGTTTACCTGCAGAAATGTCTAAATTAGGAGTTTGATCAAATCAAATGTACAAATTTGTTTCAAAATATTTCCATCATGAATATCTATTTACAAATGTAAGACAATGTCAATGTAAGTAAATGACAGCATTTTCTGTTTCTTCAAGACTGTGCCATCAGCTTTTCTGTCAAACTTCATATCTCCATTTCCTGACCAAAGGTCCATTTTGGTAATTTGACAGGAGACAGGCAACTGTAAAAATTTGGTTTATGCTTCCTGCAATGGAGAGAGGGATAGTGGAATCAAAGAGTTTATTTTCTTTAACTCTTCTTATTAACCTCTCAACATGCACCCTCAAACGGGCAATGGACTGGGTCTTCAAAACGTCGACCTCTGACATTTGGGCCCTCTTGGAGAGGAAGGCAGGACGATGAACAGTCCCAGGTACGAGATCATCCACCAAGAATCCCTTGTCCACCATGATGGCCATGTCCAGTGTCAAGAGTGATGTAATCCCTGATTGACGGAACACTTCCTTGTCACTCATGGAACCCTCAAACAGTGCTGACACAAATGTCAGGGCTCCGTGAGGAGACATGCCCACCATGGCCTTAAAGGTACAGTGGGATTTGTAGGTGGAGAAGACTTCACTCTGGAGGAGCAGGGATGAAGGTGTTTGACACCGTAGTTCTGTACAGTCCAGGATAACTTGTGTGTCACTGTAGCGGCCATCAAAATCCTGTGGAAGACTGGAACTCACAGCTGCAGGAGACATCCACACACAAATTGAGCCCAATAAGCAGTACAGGAAGTTGGCCCATGTCACAATAATGCGGCTGACTGTTGCTCTGTGGATGTTAAATCGATGGCCCAGTTCCCTCTGGGTACATCCAGTAGACAGGTAGGAGAGGAAAAGAAAAAGCTCATCTATTGGCAGCAGTTTCTGGACAGAAAATTATTTAAATGTTAGTTCAAAACCAGCATTCTCATTGTGTGTGTGTGTGTAACTTACAGTTGGTCTGGTAAAAGGGGTTTCAGTTGTTGTACTCATGACGTCGGTTTTCTTTGCTCTGGTGACCCTGACCATTTTGGCTGTTGCTGCCTCGATCAAGTTCCAAAACGCCTTCAGATGCTCATATGAGGGGAACCTAAAACACATAAAAAAAAAATATATATATATATATATATATATATATATATAAACTGTCACTCTCCACATTTATAACTGTGAAAACAGTTTTCAAATTTTGACACGGTACAACTAAGAACATAAATATCTTTCTTTGAAATTTTATGTTGTAAAGGAAAGAAAATTATACATGATTTGAAGGTTTGTAATTTTTTTATAAATTGAAAACTATTTTGAGCACAAATGTTCAGCCCCCTTAAATCAGAGAGTAACTTCTAGTCTTCATAAGTTTCCTGATGATTGCTAATGGCATAATAGTCAGCCTGTGTGTCATCTAATCACAGAAACCAACTATTTTCACCGACCTGAGGCTGTCACTAGCTGCTGTATTTGTATTTGACATTAGTTTACACACGGGTGGACTCCATAGCCATTTGTAATCATTAAAGCTATTTCTGAAGGAATATTGGTTACAGAAAAGGGAGCCGATTACTCGTACACACCACACTTTTCAGTATCATTTGTAAATACAGTACTACTAGTACTAGTACTACTACTACTACTAATAATAATAATAATAATAATAATAATAATAATAATAATAATGTGTTACATTATGTATAATTTCATTTCCACTAGTAAGTGTGTACTTGTGTTGGTCTCTCAAAGAAAATTACAATGAAATTGTTTTTGGTTGTAATGTGACAAAATATACAATGACTCAAAGCGTATTAATTTTTTTCAGAGGCATAACGTAATATTTAGATTTTACAACTCTGACCTGGTGTAAAATCTGATGTCTTCTGGTGACGTAGAAAAACGTTCCAGTCCAAACGGCTTTTGAAGACTACAGGATCGGAGCTGCTCTTTCAGTTGCTCAATTTCTCTCAGCATGCTGTGATGTTGCTCCCGGTCAACACACACGGTTCTGCTGGCGCCGTAGTCATGGTCCACGACCATAGGTACCATGACGGGTGGTTCATTGTCCTCAATTGGATCCGCCGAATCAGGTTCTGGATTAGATGGTCGACAACGGCGCTCCCAAACACCTGCTCGTGTCTTCCTGCTGTATTTGTTCCACTCAAATAATGATGGAACCGACCCAGCTGCTAAAATTCGTCTTCCCTTTTCTGTAGTAATTACTTCATTCTCCAGGAAATGTCGGCTACATACCTTGGTGTGAGGAGTTACCGTAAATCCCTCTCTTCTGATTTTTTGCAGCCAGCACAAACGAAGGCTTGTCTCCTTAGGGAAACGGTGAAAGCTCAAACGGCTATTATAGCGACCTGAAGACGAGCAAAGCGGCACACAACAGTGCTCCTTAGACCCAAACACCGTCGGCTGAAATCTAAAGCTGCCACGCACGTTATATTTTTGTTTATTTGACGCAGCAACACTCATTTTAGTTGTTTATCTCTGGGATGACAGGATACAGGAATTAAACCGGAAACTGGAATGCCGACATCCGGTCAAAGCGGAAGTGATTCAGGACGCATGTGCACAGAGCCTATTGATGAAGTGGTTTGATTGGTAACGCATTGAGTGATGACAGAGTGTCTGTATACTTGGTGAGATGTTACGGCTGGTTCGAATTGAGAGGATAGACGTTCTTCCTCTGTGGCGAGTGTCAGGTTCATTGTACTTCTCTAACTGCAGCAGTGTGAAGAGGCAGTTTTTTGAGTGACTATGAAACAAATGAAAGAACAAATAAAAAGAAAACAATAGGTATATAATCCTATTATTAAATTGTGTCTTATTTCTTATGTTTTAAGTATTTCTCTTTCCTATTATCTGCGCTCTTTCAGTTTGGTGTGTAACCTTTTCTACTCTTCTTCTATTCCAGACCTTGGTGGCCAGCATCTCTTCAGACTTAGGAGGCCTCACAGAACCGGAGATGAGCTAATGTCAACGGACTACGTGACCTTCACTCACCTCACACATACACATCAGCTAGGTAACCATACACTGTGTACTTATACACAGTCTAAGAAGCTTCGTCTAAATGCAGTTGCAAGAAGCTTCATCTAAATGCGGTTACAAGAAGCTTCGTCTAAATGCGGTTGCAAGAAGCTTCATCTAAATGCGGTTGCAAGAAACTTCATCTAAATGCGGTTGCATGAAGCCTCGTCTAAATGTAGTTGCAAAATGCGGTTGCAAGAAGCTTTGTCTAAACGCGGTTGCATGAAGCTCTAAATGCGGTTACAAGAAGCTGCATCTAAATGCAGTTGCATGAAACCGCGTCTAAAAGCGGTTGCAAGAAGCCGCGTCTAAAAGCGGTCGCAAGAAGCCGCGTCTAAAAGCGGCTGCAAGAAGCCGCGTCTAAACGTGGCTTTTTGTGTTTTTTTTTTAATTATTTGTATGTTTAAACTTGCTGCTCTGTTCATTTTTTTTTAGGCTGCCATCTGTGACGCGGCCAGAGATATCTGACAGCTCACGCAGGTGTTCCCCATCAGCTGTAATGACATGAAAGCCAGGAATGGGGATATAAAACGCGTAGGACAATGAACAGAAGGAGCGACGGAGCGGCAGATTGGACAGAACGAACGTACCGGCAGACGCGCGCAACCACCGCCAACAGGCGGGAAGCATGTTGGCCACGGAGCGCAATGGCCGGGTGCGCAACTACCGACGAGGGGCAACAGCCGAGGACAAGCCAGTCAGCAGGCTGGCAGAGACTGAAGGCGCGATGATGAAGAGCAGAGACTAGCGGGGGTAAGAATGCACCCAAGAAACCAGCTAAGCTGCTCAGCACGGTGGATCATGCCCGGATGGACGGTGCAGTCTTCCAGGTCTGGAGTCGGGGGCGGAGGACCGAGCGTTGGAGATAGCTGGAGGTTGAGGTCGCCATGGGACGCCGGACTCAAGGAGGTACGAGCGCCGGGTGAGGTCAAGATCGTGGATGGGCGTCGGACTCTGGATAGAGTGACGGAGATCACTGAAAGTTGAGACTCAAAACCGCCTGGCAGCTCCGTCCTTGGGTGAGAGGACCACACACCTTTCAGCTGAGACTGCTTCTTTTTCCTCAGACTGTCATAACTACATTGCCTTTTTAATCTTTGATTTCATAGACTGCTCTAGATGTAACCTAACTTTAACATCTGGACTGCTTACAGCATTTGTTTCCCTGTTTGTAATAAATTATTATAAATCCCTTCTATATAGACCTAATCCTATTCCTATTTTAAGTAGGTGGTGTTGCTGATATTAGTTTTATAATTTTTCTCTTATTAAAAATAAACAATATCGTTCAGCAGCCGACAGTTGCAATAAGCTTAGTCTAAATATAGTTGCAAGAAGCTTAGTCTAAATGTAGTTTCAAGAAGCTTAGTCTAAATGTAGTTGCAAGAAGCTTCATCTAAATGTAGTTGCAAGAAGCTTCTTCTAAATGTAGTTGCAAGAAGCTTAGTCTAAATGTAGTTGCAAGAAGCTTCATCTAAATGTAGTTGTCGGCTGCCGAGCGATACAAATTTTATTTTTAGTTTCTTAAAGGAATAAAGTGGTGACATGGTTATGACAGTCTGAGCAAAAAGAAGCTGTCTTAGCTGAAAGGTGTGTGGTCCTCTTGGCCTCGCACTGCGCTTCCAGGAGGACCCGAGTCTCGACCTTCTGTGATCTCCCGGCATTCTATCCAGAGTT